AAACAGTACAATGTCATGGCAGTGAAACTGAAGGAGCTAAATGAAATTCAGCTATTGTTACTTTCTTTCTTAAACCTCTGTGTTTTTTCTCCTCTGTGTTCTGATGTCTTCTTTGGTGGAAGCAAGACTGAAAAAATTATGTTATTATAACAGCATTAATAATTTAGAAACTGTTAAAAATATATGACCGAGAGTGTGTTCTTAGGTGATGTGGGGCTTACATCCAAATGCATTGTCTTGACTAAAATGCTGGATCTAAAACAGAAATCTGTAGAAAGTAAGCAGCAAAAATATAAAATATCAGAAGTCAGTAAAGCAGATAGCTTTTCAGTCAACTAAATAAAAGGATCACCTTTCCAGGAGTCTGCATTTCATTACTAGTGATCATTTTACTTGGCCAGAAACTGAATATTAACAACTACCTTCCAGTTTATTCAAATGTACAAAATCCAAAGTAATTAGCATCGCATTTTCTGATCACTTTCTAAGATCTAACAACTTTTTGCTTAAACCACACCTAGCGGGTAATGAATCCCAGTCAGGCTGATGCTGTGGCGAATAGCTTTATTTTAAAGATTAGGAGAGTTAAGACTTTCACAGCAAGAGTAAAACTAATGTCAGCTTAATACTCCTTCTGAGGAAGAACAAAAAAGACTTCTCACAGCTTAAGAGCTTGTTGATTTCACACACAGCATAAGTCGGTATAAATCATTGGCATGTCTCAGAAGTCCTTCCAAAGCTCTGCATATTAGTCAGCCTAGTTTATCACGGCTCTCAGGGTACAGAGTCGACTGCTGAGCAGCTTCATCAGTCACAATTCCTCCAGGACCTCTTTTTCCTTTAAGCTTAGAGGACAGAGTTTGTGAGGCTGAGTGAAGCGCTCATTCTCTAATTTTCGCTCTCATCGTCTCCTCTTTCATGCTTCACATCAGCTGTTATGGTATAAAAGAGCAGATTGTGTTGGGGATCTATATACTGTTCTAATTAAGAAATACAAATTCAATGTGGTAAATTTTCTAGATTTGCATAACATATTTTCATTTCCTTCTGATGCTGATTGTCTCTTAAATATTTTTCTGTTAATGTTAGTGGAGCAGATTTGTCCTGGTCTATGTTATGGCTCCTGGATGTTCATTGACTTTGTAGCTTTAGTAGTGGTTAAAGTGTTCTGAAGCAGCATTCTGGCACCTTCAGTACACAAGCAATTAAACCTTATACACAGAATAATACATATCATGAGTTAATTGGTTAGTTTTTTGTGTGCTGCAGATTGACAGCATGGAGATTTCTTGCCCAGTAATAAGAAAATAATTACATCCCACAGCCCACTTACACCTTCAACACATCCCTTCTGTTTTCTCTTCCCTTGAATTTGTTCATAGTCTAAATGTAAATAAAGTCTTGGCCACAATTTAAATGAAAAAATGTTTCTTTTTTAAGAGGCCAGTCATTTCAAATGCAATTATTCAAGCAGCTCAAATATCATCACATGTAAACGTGCATGCATTTAGCATTTCTGCGCAGTTTGTCACAAAATGTGTCCTCTATCAAATTCACATTTGTCCTACATATTTGACACTTTGAGTGTCATCAGTGACGTTTAAAAAAATGGAAACTTAAACTATGCATATATTGTCTTGTTCATTTTAAACTACTGTTTGTAAAGCAAGTGTTATCTACACGTGTGTTGCTGAATTATGTTTGGTGCACAGAGGCTGTGGCATTCATGGTCAAATGTTAGGATGTAGATCAAGGGTATTAGATATGAGTCTATATTTAAGGTGATGATGCTCGTTAGAGTCAAATTCTGCCTTTTATACCAACTTTATAGTGTCAAGGAGTAAAAACGCCCTTTGTTTCATTGCATTCAGTTGGCTGGACCTCAAAAAACAGTGAATATGAGCTGATCACAACCAGCTGAAAAACCTACTGCAGCTCACAAAACAAGTTATTATGAAAGAAGTATTTGCTCCCTTTGGATCATCATACATATGTTAATGTAAGATAAAGATAACCTGAGTAATAATTTACTATTATTATTATCTAACCAAACCTACCTGGCACTTCAAATAAGGTCAAGAAGTCCAATGCAGTGATTTGAATTAGCGGCTAACCTCATGCTTCACACCCTCCTGTCAGAGCCTCGAGCTAGTGGGGACTGAATGGTTTGTTTAAGGGCTTTCCAGCTGGGCAGATGTCCTCCATGTGAAGGACGTTGCTCACTGAGCCATCCTTTATTTCCTCGCAGAGCTACAATTCTGCTGTTTAGGTTGAGTTTACAGTATTTGCATATTAATTAAAAATAATGATCCGAATAGGTACACAAAGTAACCTTTCAAGTGAAACATTTTAATTGAAAAGCACCAAGAGAGGGAATATTAAGAAAAAGCATAAGTGCTTGTATTTTAGGAAAAACAGACTAGGTTCTGCAATTTATAATGGAAGTCATTTACTTATTAAAAGTCTTTTACTTATGTCCCTGTTGGGTTCTGGGAGGGAGGAGAAAAGAAAAACAGTCAGCTAAAGGTTTAAAACGTACATAGAGGAATTTTAATGCATCACGTTAAGTCCAAGTTGAAGCTGAAAAGCTAAAACAAAATGCAGACAGGCAGAAGTTAATAAATGTTATTCTCCACGGACCACATGTTTACCAAAGCATTTAACGCACATAAAACTACAACTACTGCTTCACAAATCTAATTTTCTACCTGATTGAGAAACCGTTCACCAGAAACGTGGCCCTATCTCAACAATATTCCCTCCATTAGGAGAAAAATCAAACACATCACTTCTCACAGATACCTTGGGGATACTAGTTCAGCTTCAACGGAGAGATGAAATGTTCATTTTCTGTAAGAATCCTACTACAATAAATGTCCACAGGAGGAAATTTTAGTTATCTTTGTAGTGTCTCACAACCAAAAGATGAGTCGACTGATGCATGAATGCAAAGCCACAAAACCAGCTAACTGTGATTTTATGTGTTTGTTTGTTTTCTTTAAGGCATTTGCAGGTAACAGTAATGCAGACAGTGTGGTTCAGCATAAGCTACAGCACCAAGTGATCGCTCGCTACGTCCGCCTGATTCCTCTCAACTGGAATCCAAATGGTCGGATTGGACTCAGACTGGAAACCTATGGATGTCCTTACAGTCAGTTTTTGTTTTTCAGTACTTGTTTCTTTACACTTACAGACATTAACTGAAAGCATGACAGTAGATTAGACACTTAATTTTGTTTTTTCGTCTTGAAAAAATTATATAACACTTTGTATTTACTGTGTATTCCCATTTGTGTGACTTTGAAGCATATTTTGGGGATAAAATACCAAAATGTTTTTTTTTTCAGTGTCTCTTCATTTTTTTTGTTATGCTTAACATCTAATAGAGACAGGTTTGCATCGTCTAGCCTTGTGAAAGGGTTGGACATCAATGCATTTGCTAACCAATTCTTAGAATTAAACAATAAATTTCATTTCTTTTACCTTTGGAACCTTACCAAAGATTTTTTTCCTCAAAAGGCGTAAATAAAACAATGTGTACATAAAACAGGGGATGTAAATGTACCTTGGGAGTTGGTGAAGAGGCGGCAGATCAATGCTGATTACAGTAGAAATGAGCCACAGGTGAAACAGACAGTAGGAGCTCACCAAACACCTGCTGAGAGAAAGTGTGGATGGAGAGGGTTAGCGCGGTGTGAAAATATAACCTTGCAGCTTTAATGGTGTTAATGCTAATGGGTTTAATTAGACTTTGACATGTTGCTGGCAGCGCACAAACGTTTTGTGACTTTTCCGCACTATGTACCTCACAACTCTGTAACTCTGTAACTGTATGTGATCTCCCACTTTGTAAATAAAAAAACGAAAGTCTTTCAGATTTCAAGCCCCAAAGATTTACCCCACATAAGGGCATCTTATATGAGTTAATTTTATTTACTTATTAACATCTTATATGATTAAGGAATTTAAATTAATTTTTCACTTGATTTTTTTACCTGCACTAACTTTGTAGAAAAGAAGATTTATGTAAAGCATATAATATACCAGCCCTAGCAGACAAACTTTTGAACAATTTCAAGGCATTTTTTTTCTGGTGCTTTCAGCCTTTCTGTCACTTGTAGAAGTTCACATGCACTGGATCCAATAACTGATGTGTCTGAGTTGGCGTTTCTAATTTGACGCTTCAATAGAGACACTGTAGGCTAGAGATTTGTGTTCTTAAGCAACACTTTCACCATTAGTGTATAATTTTCTTCAGAGTGACATGAAAGCTGCACAGTGGTCATTAATCTGCTTTCTATAGTCAGACATCATTTGAATATTAGCTTCTCTTCTTCTTTTATTGATGCTTAAATATTAATTTGCCTTTGGGAAGCGTTTACTGTAATATTTTATATGTATATGAACACTGCAGGTAGAAGATGAAGAATCCAGAATGTATGTTTTGCAACAGAAAATTGCAAAATGTGCAGCATATCAGATGGGATTTCTGGAAAGCAGGGTTGCATAATTAAATATTTAATGAGTGTAATGAATTATAACAATAACAAGCATCTGAATCCAGGGTAATGATTTTGTGTGTGTGTGTGTGTGTGTGTGTGTGTCTTTTTAAAGATTCTGACGTGTTGAGTTTCAATGGCCGAAGCAGCCTCATCTACAGGTTGACTCCCAGGCCGAGGCAGATGTCCAGTGAGAGCATCAGCCTGAAGTTTAAAACCCTGAAGAACTCTGGGATACTGCTTCACGCAGAGGGACAGAACGGGCACAGCCTCACCTTGGAGTTAGAAAAAGGAAAACTTCAATTGCTCATCAGAAAAGGTACAACTCTGAAGTTTTTATTCATGCAGTGTGGAAACTGTGCTGCTGTTTTTATTGAACAAACTAAAAGAACTAACAAACATTTTGGTGGTGAATTACTAGTAGCTATAAAATGAAAGTTGTGTTGACATTGCAGCATTTTCTGGTGGATGTATTTCTTGAACGTTGCTTGGTCATTGTTAATCATTGTTATTAGACAGGGGGGGTTGTGTGCATATGCATATGCATAATCTTACACCTGTTAACTCTTAGATGAAAAGAGCAAAGACTTCCCAATAATAATAATTATATAAAAACATGAAAACAAATTTCACTACAAGGGAAACTTCACTTTCAAGGTCAGGGCTTATCATTCAAGGTCTAGAATTTTGGCCCACTTAACTTTACAGCACTCCTTGAAGGTTGTGGATTTTCATTTATGCATAGCTCTCTTAAGTTCTCACCACAGCATTTCAGTTGGATTGATGTCTGACTTTGACTAGACCATTGCAACACATTGATTCATTTTCTGGGAGATCCCTTCGTAGACGCCTTAACGCCCACTCACTTCCTGGGTCAATTGATCTTAGTAAATCACATGATAGGGTA